CTACTAGACATACAACTACTACACAGTGCCAAGACAATTGGGCGGATTGTGTCAGAAACATTTGCTTCGTAGAATGCTAAGAGTCTTGGATTCATGTTACTTAACAACGGCTTGAAGGAAAAAATTGGATCTACGATATGCCCAGTTGTCAGGAGATGCTTTGCGATTGATTTCTCCTAACAGATTGACCTCTGAGATTTTGTTGCGTCATTGATTGTAATAACCATCTGGAATATTGGTTATGCCCGGGAGCGATTCATTCTACCGATATAAGTGTGACCACAACTACATAGATAACATGTGAAGTAGAATTGGGCGGCTGGCTCTGTCGATCGGTTTTCCAGACAAATTCCACGGGTATGTTACGGTATCCGGGGGAAGCTGTGCGATCATCAAATGCCCAGATAAGTAATGATACTAATTACCTATTTGGGTGGTCGGAAAATATAACATTTCCTTTAAATCATATTCAAAACGATCCGCTCATCGCATGTATGCTGGAAGTTTGAACATGAGTTGCAAATTGTTCAATAAACAACTTGATAAGATACAAAAATGAAGCAGTCTATTTCAAATAAAACCGCAACTTGATTGTGTCTGAGGCATCGATCGGTCGAGATAAGGATTATACAAAATCAGACTCACTGACTTGAGTTTCTTATGTCCTCACAAGTCTTCCCTGGCAATATCAGCTGTCTTCACGAATGATACGGTTAGGTGCTGTCTATTGAATGGGTAAGTTGTGAAAAGCTGTGCGATTTGGAGTACGCTGACGACATCGTCTCCTTGTTAGAATGTATGAAGGATGCACAAAGAGCACAGATTAACAGGTTCTGTCTCTCCGTTCGGTATGTGCTTTGCACCTTCAAAGTTCAAAGTGATGCTGCGAGACTGGGTGTTGCCGAGTTCTGTTCTGAACGTAGACTGTCGGGAATTAGCCGAAGTTGACTACTTCTCCTACTTAGGTAGCTGCGTGACAAACGACGATGGCGCATCAAAGGAGATGACCACCCGCATTTTCAAGGCTCGATCGGCATACACAGGACTTAAACACCTGTGGCGACGACCAGATGTTTCACCGAAGTTGAAAAGAGGCGTATACTGCTCCACTGCTGGACGGTTGTGAGACGTTTAATTTGCGGGTAGGAGACACCCGTCGTTTAGGAATTTTCGACAATCGATGATTATGTAGTCTGGCTCAAGCGGGAAGGAAGGAACAGGTTAGTAACTTGGAAGAAATTCGTCGGATTTTTGGGAATGCATCGAACAAGAACTCACTATCACATCGAACCCAGCTCAATAGGCTCTGTTGGTTAGGACACATTTAGCGTACGTCCGACGGTCGCCTGCCGCAGCACGCTTGTTTGCAGTGGCTGTTGCAGACTGGAGAAAGCCACGTGGTGACCAGCAGATGAGGTGGAGACGAGGCATAAAGAAATACATGGAGCGATTTGGTCTCTCATCTTCCGGGTTGGAATACAAAAGACTCCATAATGGCATGAATGGAGACAATGAAGGCCATGGCTGCGAACCGACAGCAAAGGTGATCTGGCTATCACTTCTTTTCAGACCGGAATGCTTGAAATAGTATGTATGCACAATTGTACTGTGTACTTTGTGTGTTGACCCTAGAAGCTCGCTTTCTTTTCCCGTTCCTAAAAGTAAGTCCAATCCCTATCTTCCTCAAACATTCTCACTTACTCTGTACACATTATGAGATTGTTAGCGATCAGTGAAGTTCACTTTACTATATTACGCTGTACAATGATGATGATGATGATGATGATGCTGTTATTTTGGCAGTGTATACTAAGTAGTAACCGAAGATCACAGTGATAGGCCGTTATTCTAACCAATTAAATATGGTAACCCCTGAGTACCGATCTGTTATAATGCTTCTACTTGTACACATCAGGTGACATAGAAGCTCACCACTGTGGTTCGTTTGATCTACTGTAACCGGAATCCAGCCGATGGATTGTTGAAGTTTTCATTGAGAAGTCGATTTGGCAAACAAGCTCGTTTTCGGTGCCTCATTTACTAGCCAAATACAGCACTCTTTTATAGGTTACAAAATCATATAGTTCAAGGAAATAGAAAAGGCGCGTAAGTAATGTCTGTGTTTGTGTGCGTGTGTGTGCGTGTGTGTGGATAAATGGGATAATACAGTCAGGGTGTATGTGAGTTCGAATCATTCTGCAAATGTCATTAGTACTGTCGAATGAATCAAATGCATTTGACACTCATTTGATAACAGGCTTTATGTCATTCTAGCGTTTATGGCTGGCCATGGTAAATCCAGGGCTCTGACCGACTTTTTTTGAACGCACAAAGGGGGGTTGTTCAACCGAATCGCGATCGCTTCGGCTGTTGACAGTAAGCGGTGCTTGACCTGCTTCGATCTCACCCCGGTGATCGTGTAGATGGGCTTGACCGCTTCACTCATTCTGACGCGATGCTCAGTTTCGACCAAATGAGCCGTGATCGCTGTCCCCCCGGGTTTCGTCAATCCACGACTAAGCCAGCTGGGGTGGTGTTCTCGAATGCGTTCAGCCAAGCGGCGGGTGGTACGACCAATGTAAGTGGTTCCACAGGAACACACGAATTGGTAAATGCAAAATGAGGTCATTTCCACCGGTAGCTTGTCCTTCATCTGCAATGAGAG